CCTTGTCTTTGTTGAGGAGGGTCTGTGCAGTCCTTCTGCCTAGTCTGCCATCTTGCCAGAACTTCCAACCTCACCTTTTTATATTAAAAGAACCAGGGTGCCAGGGAATTGCCTCAGTTCCTAGGACTAGATCTGGATGGTTGCCTCACTGGCACCAGCACTCAGTTCTTACACTTCCTGATCCAGTTCTTTTCCTATAAAATGGTGCTTCCCCACACAAGCACCCTAAGTCCCTGTGCTATATCTTGGCCATGAAAACCATGTTAACTCGTAATGCTTTGTGTGTGTGTGTGTGTGTGTGTGTAGAAGATGACAAAGCAGAAGGAAAACAGCAAAAATGAAGTTAATAGAAACAAACAAAAAAAAAATCTGACACTAAGCAGAGTACAGCCACTCACTGCAGGCATTTATTTTCTGAGGTCAGGCTGGCTGGACGTGTAACAGTATGTCTTCAGACTCTTGTAGTCACCTGATGTTCCCTGGAGGCAATCTGTGTTACTCACCAAGTTAAACTCTTGTGTTAGTTCCTTCAAGGACACAAGGTGCATACCTAAGTCTCTTGTGTCCTGTGTTCTCAGTTACATCCCTCCCAAACCCTGCTGATAGTTAGAACCATTTCTTACTGAAGTTGAGTAGCACGAAACCAGTTCTTCCCACCCCTCAGTGCACATTGGAATTACCTTGAAAGTTTTTTTTGAAAGCCCCTCAAATTTCTGGTTTAATGGTCTAGATTGAGGTCAAGCTTCAATAATTTTTAAATCTTCCCTATTACATAGCCAGAGTAAGAACCAGAGTTTTAAGTAGGTGGTTCTTGAACTAGAACTGCATCAGAATCACTGGGAGGGCTTGTTAAAAAAAAAAAAAAGGCCAGCCTGCTGTGTCACAAGCTCAGAGCTCCTGATTTAGTGGGTCTAGGGGGAAGCCTGACTAGATCCCATGAACTAACAAGTCCCCGGAAGATGGTTCTGGACTGGGAAACACCTTGAGAACCATTGGTTTAAACCACTACCAGTGGCTAGTTCCTTGTGTTATTTATCTCCTTGGTGGTACCACATAACCACCAAGGAGCAGATCAGAAGAACGAGTGGAGGTTATCCTAGACTTCATGAGGAAGCTGAAGAGTAGCAGTGTGCATAGCATCTCAAAAGTGTTTGTCTGGAGCAGAGTAGACAACTTGAAAAATACAGGGTGGTCAAATTAAATTTCTGTTAGAGTGGCCCTTGGGTCTCATCTAGGCCAATTGTTCCCATTGTGCAAATGAGGAAACTGAGACCCCACAGTGAACTGGCGATGCTGCCAGCTCTGTAATTATGTAGAGTTTGCTGCTTTGATGTTAGGGTTCTTTCTATGATACCACAGTGCCCTCCTCTGATGTGGGTAAATCCTGAGAAATGGCCACAGTTTCCTCAATCTGCAGAAGTTACTCATGGTATCCAGGGGCTGGCACAGCAACAGGAAATAATGAAGATGCTGAGGTTGGACTAAGTTATCCCTAGGCTTACAGCAGTGTTTCTCAGCATCACTTGAGAACTTGTTAGAAATGCAGATTCTTCTTGGGCTCCCACTCCAAACCTGCTCTTTCTGAAAGGCCTGTGGTAGGGCCCAGCAGTCTGTGTTGTCACCTGCTCTCCAGGTGACTCTGATGTTGCCCACTCAAGTTTAAGAACCACTGGTTTAGGGAAAGCCCAATTGAATAAAACAGCAAATTGCCTGCAAGAAAATTTGGAGACTTGTTTATGTTGAGTATCTCTCCCCTTTGGCCTTCTGCTGTCAATTAGTGTGTGGCATGCCCTGGTGGCTCAGTGGTTAAGTGCCTGGCTGCTAACCTAGAGGTTAGTGATTTGAACCCACCATCCACTCTGTGGGAGGAAGATAGGACAGTCTGCTTTCAAAAAGATTACAGCCTATGTGGCAGTTGTCTTAGGGCCACTGTGAATTGGAATTGACTCAACAGCAATAAGTTTATGCTTGGTATCAGAATCTGGTGGGCCAACTAGCCATCCTGGGTTACAGATTAGCACTTTGTGGATTATTTGTTCTGAATGTAATCTGGGTTCTGACCTCAGCTCTGCCATTAATTTGCTGAAAACTTGGGCCCTTGGTTTCATCCTGTATAAAAATTAAGGCTGCCAAATTCCATAGTAGCATTATTCACAGTAGCCAAAAGGTAGAAACAACCCTGGTATCCACTAACAGGTTGAATGGATGAACAAAATGTGGTACATCCACGCAGTGGAATATTTTTCAGTCATAAAAGGAAAGGAATAAAGTTCTGATGGTTTTTACATGGGTGAACCTTGAGGGCATGATGTTGAGTGAAATAAGCCAGACACAAAAGGACAGATAATTGCATCATCCTACTTACGTGAGATATCTAGAATAGGCATCTGCTTAGAGACAGAAAGTAGAAGAGAGGTCACCAGGGACTGGGAAGAATTGGGGAATGAAAAAGTAGATACTGCTTAATGGGTTCAGAGTTTGGTGTGATGGAAAGATTCTAGAAATAGTGGTGATGGTTGTACAACATTGTGAATGTGCTTAATGCCACTGAATTGTACACTTAAAAATGGCTAAATTGGACATTTTATGTTATGTATAGTTTGCCACAATTAAATAAATAAGTAAAAGGTTCCACAGAATAGATAGGACAGCCCAGGTCACCTGCTGCTCCCAGCCTTCCTCTTCCTCCTCCTCTTCCACCCACGCCTCTGCCATCCAGGGACAGATGGGCTCTAAAATTCCTTCACGCTTTAAGGAAGCTACATTGTGAAGCGGTTTAAGCTCAACTGAGTTTTAGGAAGTCCTCAGTAACACCAGGACCATACTGTCTCTAGAACCACTCTCGGTACCAAATGTGTTATATTGGGTTCTCTAGAGAAACACAAAAACCAGCAAAGCGTATATATATAGAGAGAGAGAGAGAGAAAAGAGTGAAAGAGAGAGATTTATCTTAGGAAAATGGCTCACAGACGTATAGAAGCCAGCAAGTCCAAAATCCCTGGAGGAAACGTCGGGCTGGTGGCAGCCTTAGCTTCCGCAAGCGCAGGGGGCGGAGAAATTCAAGGCTGGCAGGCAGTACACTGGTTGTTGACTCCAACGAAAGACAAATCCAAGATCTCCAGGCCGAGCGGTGGGCTGCTCACTCACGGAAGGTTGTAGTCAGCACACCAGGGTTCCAATCCCTCCAAGAATGTCTCTCTTCCCAGGATGGCCCTGGATATCCTGGAAGCAGGCCACACCCCTAGGGAAACTCCCCTTAGGCAGTTTGGCCACTCAGAACACAGTCATCCGATCCCATCATGGGAATGACCACACAGAACTGGGGTCCAGCCAAGTTGACACACAGCTCCAACTATCACAGTCCACCCCTTGTCAACTTGGCAGTTGACACATCTTCTTAACCATATATAATCTCTAAATAAGGACAATTACAGAGTCATATTTGTGCCTAACATGATATGTTAACACACATACAACCAAAATGCATTAACCTTATTTACATTTCACAGCTCATAACAGAAGGAAACAAAAATATTTGATGCACATATACAATGAAGAAATATAACAATCACAGTCCTCGTTTCTACAGCTGGTCACGTGGTCGTAGCTGATATTCAGAACTACCTTCTTCCATCACCCATTCTGTATTTCCCTTGCGCTCAGCAAGCACCTCAGCTGGTCATGGTTCTTTGCCTGGTGGGGTGACCCAAACCTTCATTCCTGAAGGGTCTGTGCCCTTAGCAGTCATATCAGAATTGGGTTGCTGTAATTTTCCTTTGACTTTAATCACAGGGCATGGTAGTACTAAAAGACGTCCTAAAGAATCTCCTGGATTCCAGACATACTCATCTTTACCTCCATTATGTAAAGCCAACCCAGTTTCCCCTTGGTAATCAGGATCTATCACACTAGATAGCACAGTAATGCCCTTCTTTGTCTGTTGATCCAGAGGCATGAGGAAGCCAAAATGGCCGGGTGGCATTCTTAATTTCCAGTTCAATGCAATCGGTATTGTGTCTCCAGGTGGGAGTGTTCCTCCCTTTGGGACTAAGATCTCCAGACCCGCAGAGCATAGGGTAGCAGGGACAGGAAGCAAAAATTTTTTGAGTGGGTCACTAGAGGTAATAGTGAGTGGTACCACTCCTGTTTCCACCCCTTGGTTCCTGGACCCATGAATCCTGGCTATTGGAGAAACAGAACCATATATTGGATGCTGGTTTAGAGCATATACAGCCTCCTGGAGAACATTGCCCCAACCCTTCAAGGTGTTGCCACCTAGCTGGCACCGTATTTGTGTTTTTAAGAGGCCATTCCATCATTATATCAAACCAGCTGCTTCAGGATGGTGGGGAACATGGTTGTTGTTGTTGTTGTTTGCCATCGAGTCGACCCCGACTCATAGCAACCCCTCCTTGGGTTTCCGAGGCAGTATCACTACGGAAGTAGGAATGCCCAACCTTCCTTCCGAGGAGTGGCTGGTGGGTTTGATCCACCAGCCTTCTGGTTAGCAGTCAAGTGCCTTAGCCACTATGCTATGCTATGGGGAACATGGTAAGACCAGTGAATTCCATGAGCATAGGCCCACTGCCGCCCTTCTGTCCCCTGAGGCTGCTGGAAGACAGGAGTGAGGGGAGACCCTGCGATTGGATTGGTCTGGGCCTTGGAACTGGCAAGGCACTTTATGCTAGAACCAAAGGATAAAGAATTAAGGATTCTGAAGACAAGCAGAGTGGTAAATGAGTGTCTCTGACAGGACGCAGCCAGGAATGATTATCAGTTCCACCACTTAGTCTGTATCTGTGTTTACTCCCCTGTAAAATTGAGGCTCAGGGCCTTAAAACTTTCTCTTTGTTCACATGTCCCTATAATTTTGTTTTCTCAGAGTAAACTTGCTTAAGCATAGCCCAGGGTAAATTTTCACAGATTCTGAACTTGATGGAGTTTATAAGTCTTTACATGGATCTGATATTGTTAGTGAATGGCTTTTCCTTTTCTTTTAGTTAGTGTCAGGAGTATGGGAAAGCAAATACAACTTCTTCTGTCAGGGAACACGCAGCGCGGGAGAATCAGACATGAAGGTATTGTACTTTTTTGAAAATAGCATTTATTTTGTAGGGTTTTTTTTCTTTTGTTAATAAGGAAAGTATGAAAAAGACAAAAATAGCCTATAACCTTACTGTCCAGGTAATCTCTGGACATTAAAAAGATAATAAAAACTATATATATATATACATAATATGAAAATTTGAATGTGAAAGGTATAAAATGAAAAGTAAAGCTTCCCTCTCTGCAAAAGTAACTATTGTTAATAGTTTCTAGGGAGGGGAGATCACATGCATTTGTCAGTATTTATACTGTATTTATTTAAATGAGATCATACGATGATTTCCTAAAGTTTTAAATCATTCTTCTAAATGCCCCCTAAGCACTGATGTTAAACACAGAATCTGACTTCCTTCTAAGTGTGCTCCCTCCCCCCCAATAAAAGACTAACAGTAGGTGCTCAGTTATAGGACACCTTTTTGACATGTTAATTTGTCAGGTACTTGACATGGAAAGCTCTGGTTCCTTTTTTCTTTGCCTTGTATTGTGTCACCTGCCCCATGTGGGTCCCTGAAATCCAAAGCAAAATCAGGTAGTTTTTCTGTGCCAGTGGCTCCACTGGCTACTCCCCGAGGGAATAGGCAGGCTTCAAGGTTTTGAACCTTGAGCCTCCTGTTTTTTGTACAGTCTTGAAGGGTTTCAATGGCCCTTTTAAAACTTTCCTTGTTGTCATTGCAAACTTCCCCTAGAGTGTTCTTCGTTAACTTTGCTCATCGTGTAACCAGAGCGCTGGATGGCTGAAGGACGATAGGAGCTGGTGGGGCACTTGGGCTTCTCTGAGTTAACATCGGACTCTGGGATGTTAGTAAAACATGTCAGAGGTAATATTTCAGAACAGGTCCATTTCAGAGAAATACTGAGAATATGCCTTTTAACCCGTTCTTCTAGATCATCCGTGTCCTCTGGTGGTATTATTTCTCCAAACTCATAGAATTTATGGACACCTTCTTCTTCATCTTACGCAAGAACAACCACCAGATCACGGTCCTTCACGTGTACCACCATGCCTCCATGCTGAACATCTGGTGGTTTGTGATGAACTGGGTGCCTTGCGGCCACTGTAAGTATTATGGGGCGGGGGTGGGATGGCTTGGGAATAGGTATGAACAGAGCGGCTAAACTGAAACTAAAGCTTTTAGGAAAGGTGCTATTTTTATAAATTCTAATAAGTCAGGCATTTGAACTTTGTGTTTTAGTTGCTTTTGATGATATCTGTGTGACCTGTGCAGTATTCTGACAATACCTTTTCTCTAGTTTAGTGAAGGCCTGGTTTGTCAAGATGAGGGAGACAACAGATTCCCAGGTTGGGACACATTAAAAAATACGGGCAATGTCTCTGTCCCAGGGGGCAGCTCTTCGGGGATGGTTGCTTATCCTTATTTCTCTTGCATTTGCAATGTGTTTGCCTAATGGGAGCAGGGGCAGAAAGATGGTATTACACCACTGAGTGAGTGCCAGGGAACAAAGCTAATTGTGAAATACTGTTTTAGCTAATACGGCATTAGGAAATCTCCACATATCCTAATAGAATGACCCTCGCATTCCATGAAGCATGTTTATCAGGATGTCTTCTGCAAGTACCAAAATTTGAAGTACATTCTCTTAAGAAGGCCAAGTCTGGCTTTGGGAAAGCTTATGGTATGAAATTTCTTACAGTTTTCAGAGATTAAGTTGTCACCTTCACAGTCAGCTTAGAGTTGTAATAAATGTACCAGTCAAAATTCCTGTCATCCTGAGACTGAAAAATTTGACTAAGAGATTTTGTCTCTAATCATGTATGGTTTTGTTGTAGGATCACACTACCTTTGATAAACTTGGCCTACCAGGGTTCACATAGACACAGAATTTTAGAACTAGAAAGGACCTTCAAAATTCAGCTCCTTTGCATGGACACCTGAGAAAACTGAGACCATAGAATGGTCGGTAGAAGTCATCCTCCAACTCCCTTCCTAGTGTTTTTTTCCCCACCATCCTACCTTTTGACTGTAGATTAACTGACCTTTCTAGTTGAAGCAACTCATGCTTACATTACTAGAGTGCATTACATCTTCAGAAAATTTGCAGGATGACAATTTTACTTAGCCCTGTCTGACCCTGAAAAATTGAACCAGAAAATGGATGCAACTTGGATAAGGTCACATGGCCAGTTGCTATCGTTGCTAAGAGTGGAAATTTGTTCCCTGACTCCAGCTGTGTGCACATGGCCTTGACTCGACATGGAAAAGCTGGATGGCTTTTTGTGGTTTACTGTGAGGCCAGGTCCAGACCAAAAGTCTAAAAAAAGGACTAGCAGTCCTGCTGGAGATTTGAAAATCATGAGATTAAATGGCTCTTCTATCCCTGAGGACCTGGACTCTGCTCAGTGCCTGGCGTCAGCACTGCAGTCCTGGGGGAATGATTAGGATGTTACTTCTAAGGCCTTTCCAAACCTCAGCAAACTTGTAGAGACATAATGTCTGTCTGCTGTCCAAAGCTTTCACAGCAACATGACTTAGGTAATGTTGCTTTAATGACTTTGGGCGTGGTAATAAAAGTAAACACCTCTGGGCATTTATTGGGGTGGGGGGGACTGGGAACAAAACCTTACAGGTACCAGAGCCAGGCAGGTGTGTATAGTGCCTCCTGTGTTCAATCCATCCTAACAGGTTTAGCTGATCCTGAGTGTAAAGCATCCTAACAGCAACCTGCCCAAACAAAATCACATTCTGATTACACATTCATGCAGTGCTTGGTGCTACAGTGTCTGCCACCCCATCAACAGTGTCTCTTTTCCCAATTAAAAAAAAATCTTGAATTTTTTTTTTTTTTTTTTTGCCTGTTATGCATAAAACACTGATGTGTCCTACTTCCCAAACCCCCTCTATTCCTGCAGCTTACTTTGGTGCCACACTTAATAGCTTCATCCACGTCCTCATGTACTCATACTATGGTCTGTCATCTGTCCCTTCCATGCGTCCGTATCTCTGGTGGAAGAAATACATCACTCAGGGGCAGCTGGTGAGTGACTCAGCCTTTCTCCTGGGATTTGCTTCCTGGTAGACCCGACCTCTTAGGATGCTCTTGCTGCCTCCCTATTGCTTTTTAATATCATCTAAGATGTGCCTTTCCCACCTCTTCTCGTTTTATTCCTTTATAAACTCTCTGAAATAGAGCAGGGAATTTTTTTATTTTTTATTGATGGAAACTGTGCCCATGAGCATACAGCTATTTGAATCATACAGTGAGAATTGCAGTGTCCTTTCCTGACTTTACGTTCAGTTCCTTGGTCCTTAATTTGTGCACATAAGCACATGTGCATATATGTGTGTGTATCGATGTGTGCGTTTTCTAATTATAATCCAAAATCCAAGGAATCTGTGTTCAGGAATTTCAGCAGGAGCTGTGAAGTAACCTGAGCCCAGGGTGCTTTTGGCTTATTAGGCAGCGAGGATGTTTTGCTAAGGCAGATTCCAGATGACCTCTGAGTGCTGCCCATGCTTAATGGTACACCTGTTGCCAAGATTGGCACCTGGTGACAGCCCCCTTCACACTCAAGCAACTGCTGGCACATGGTGGTTATTTCTCAACATCCTTTCTCAAATTCTCCAGTTGCCACTGTATTATAGACCCCTATTCCTCTCCCCAGTAGCCCTGGTAGTAGTATAGTGGTTAAGCACTTGGCTGCTAACAGAAAGACTGGCAGTTCAAACCCATCTGCTGCTCCATGGGAGATAGATGTGGCAATCAGTTTCTGTAAAGATTCCAGCCTTGGAAACCCTATGGGGCAGTACTGCTCTGCCCTATAGGGTCACTGTGAGTTGGAATTGACGACAAGGAGTTTGTTTTTTTAAGTTCCTCCCCTCTCATGCATTCTTTTATAAACTAATATTATTATAATTATTAATACTACTACCACTGTTAAATGCTGACATTTATTATATGTCACGCACTTGTGCTAATAAGTGAGCGGTTTTACATGGATTATTCCGGTAACCTGATATATTATTAGCCCCATTTTATAGATGAGGACACTGAGGCAGTAGGCCGAAGCTGGCTGGCTGAGGGATATGAACATTAAACCCTTAGCCCTGGCCTTGCCTTACTAGCAGCCTAACAAACCAAACTGAGTCAGACCCTCCAAGTCACTTGTGCTTTTTCAGTATTTAAAACAACAATCTGAGAACATCTCTCCAATCACTTACATGTTTGATATTTCAGTGTCACCTCTTTGCCAGCTGCTTTACAGTCCTTGTTAATTTTTTTCACCCACCTGTGAAGAAGGATAATTGTTCTATAACCTCCATGTCACACTTGAGGAAAAAGGATGCAGAGATTGATTTATGACCCACAGCTGTAGCTTTGGCAGAAACGGAATTTAAAAGAACAGACTGGAGAAGTGAATCTCCCACTGGGCTTAGTAATTTAAGGTAGAAAATTGTGCCCAGTTTGTTTAAATTTAAGCAACCTTCATAGTTACTTCTCAACTTAGAGTACTAACTTTAAAAAAGAAAAGGAAAAAACTATTCTCTATTTGGTAGCACTGTAAACTGGACCAGACATACAGTGGGCAGAACCCAGGCCTCAGTTGTTCTTCTGGAAGATCCACCTTCTGGTAGCCACCTTATTTTGAACATCTTTGAATTGTTTGTCCAAGCAGTTTCCTGCACTTTTCAAGTTTTACTTGTCAGAAATAATCTATGAACTTGGCATTACTTTCCGATGAGTTTAAATCACAGTCATCGGCCTTCACCAAGCCATAAAAGTACACAGATGAGGAATGGGAAAAGTGCCAATTTGGTTGTTTCCTGCAGTGACATTACTCATTCCCTTTAAACATAAACCCCACATCCCTCTCTCCCTCCTTAAAAAAGCAAAACCAAAAATACCTTGTATCTCACTCTGTGTACTGTGTCCCTGAATTTTATAGGCGATCATGTAAGCAACAATGTGTTCACTGTTTAATAGCTAGGTGTGTGTGGGGTTATGTATACAGAAAACAAGTACACATCCATAAATAAGTAGTTTAGGATAAATGTAGTATATGCATATGTTTTTGAAATGACTTCTTTACCTACAGAAAAATTAATAAACATTAATTCAGAAACATGGGGGAGGGGTGCTATGTGAAAAATCCATCTGCTGTGGGGACCTTGCCCGTGTCCTGCTGCTGCACTGCTCAGGGGTGTCTGCTCTCTCTCTCCCCACCAGCTCCAGTTTGTGCTGACAATCATCCAGACCAGCTGTGGGGTCATCTGGCCCTGTGCTTTCCCCCTCGGTTGGTTGTATTTCCAGATTGGATACATGGTTTCTCTGATTGCTCTCTTCACAAATTTCTATATTCAGGTAAATCTCATTCTTCTCTAATGCTTGGTAACAGGGGCTACTTCCAACCAGTGCACTCACTTTTCACTATCAGGCCCGTGTGGAGGCAGGCACGGTGTGCCCATGGACTGGCAGGAACGTGTGCAGCCCCTGCCTTTGAGGGCTGTGACAGCTACTGTGGAAGACTTTGAAATCTGTCTCAGACCTGCAGAGTTCTCGATAGTTTGCTAAGGAGTCATGTGGCAAATGCAGAACTATTGAGCAGGATCCTGTATTGCTTCCCTTCTGACTGGCGGCAAGGACATGAGAGGTGTTTTTCAACCAGAAGACTCAGCCCTGCTACCACTGCTCAAGATCAGGGGTTCAGTTCATTCCCTAGTTTACATCCCTAGTGTATGAAGTAAAATAGGCTTTTGCTCACAGAAGGGTCCATTTAGGGCAGATTAACTCTGGTGGCACCTGACCACTCTGCACCACAGCTGACTTTCTGCTTCTGTCACCACCAGGTGATGGGTGTACTATTCTGGTCTAGCTGCCCCTTGAACAGTGCCTGGTACCTGTACTGTCTGCTGTGTTAGGGAAGACACAGGAGGACAGGAACAAGTATAGAAGCTGTGGATCCTGAGGCCATAAGCCTACTAGTGTCAAACAACCACCTGGAGGCTTAGCCACTTTTCTGTGCCCACTTTCACCTTTAACCACCTGCATCTGTGCATGGCATATTTCACTTGAGCTGAGTTCCTGTGCTCCTGAAGTAATGTTGTGGTTATATTGCAGTTAAGCAACAGTTCATGACTATACTTTGAGACACCTACTAGGCACATAGTAGGTTAAAGGACAGGTCCTGTGGAGGAAACTGAAGCCATACATCTTTTAAAAGACAAGGCATGTGCATGGCAGGAGAGTTATTACCACATGGGAGAAAACAGTTTGGACACAGAATCTTTATCCTCTCCATCCACATATTGAATTGATAGCAGAACAAAGTATAAATTGAATTACTTCACTTTTTAAAATCTTATTTACATTCAGCTGTAGGAGTTTTAGTGGACTTATGTCAGGCTAAGCCTTAAAAAATGGAAGAGTGATTGAAACCAATGGCAACCCCCACCCCCCAAATGAGGGAAAATACAGAGCAGAATTTTTAAATTCTCACAGCACCCAGTGCTGTGGAAAGTTGCTTTCCACTTTCTAGAGCTATGGAGGCTGGGTGAACCCCTGAAACTATACCCTGAGGTAATCTTTAAACCTTAAATCAGAAATATCCCTGAAGTCTTCTTAAAACCACACAGTCATTTAGCTTATCTAAATTAAAGGTTGTCTTAAACATTGTGCTTTTTTAAAATCTGTCTATATGAGATCAAAATGACAACAGCAACTTGAAAAAGATTGATAGGAAACTTAGGGGGCAATGAGTTTATATTAATAGGAGCAGAACAACTCAGAAAAGGAGGGTGAGAATGGTTGTACAACTCAAAGAATTTAATCCATGTCCCTGAATTTTACATGTAGAAGTTGTTGAGTTACTGTACCTTTTGTGTGTATTCTCAATAACAACAACAAAAAAATATTTTTAATTTTTTTTTTTTTTTCGTGCTTACCTGACCACAGAAGTTATTTCTGGTCATAAAAGGAAACTGTGACACTGAGACAGAATTGGGTGGTACCTGGCTACCACTACCAACTGCTCTGAAAGGGATCACATTAGAAGGTCCTAGGTACACTGGGAGAAAAATGTGGAACAAGTCAAAATCATACAAAAAAATTGAGGCTTACTGGTCATATAGACATGGTAGAACTCCTGAGACTATGGCCCTTGGTCACCCTTTGGACCTGAAACAACTCACATAGCTCAATTTTCAGTCAAATGGACAGGTCTACAAGGTGCACAGTTACTCTAGGGAAGTACACACTTCTTAGAACAATCAACCATTTGAGATCAAAAGGGCAGCATTTAACCAAGGACAAAATTCAGAAGGCAGGAAGGGTTAGGAGAGAAGGAGGAATGAAAATGAGAAAAACGGAAGAAGTGGAAACAGTAATGTTACATTGAGGGAATTGCAGTCAGTGACGTGAAACAAAATGTGTGTGAATTGTCGAATGGAACACTGATTTGCTCTATAAAAGCCTCACCCAAATCTTAATGAAAAGTTTAAAAAAAAAAAAAAGGAAACTAGACCTAGTGATAGGATCTGATTTGCAGTGGAGCTCCCATTGCAGAAAACAGCCTTATCGTCATATGACTCTTAACTCCCTTATTGCCTTTCAGACTTATAACAAGAAGGGGGCCTCCCGGAGGAAAGACCACCTGAAGGACCATCAGAACGGGTCCGTGACAGCTGTGAATGGACACACCAACAGCTTTTCTTCCCAGGAAAACCATGTGAAGCCAAGGAAACAACGGAAGGATTGAAGACCAAGAATTGAAAACCTCCAAACCACGCGTCTGATTGTAAGCACAATGAGTTGTGCCCCAATGCTCGTTAACAGCTGCTGTAACTAGTTGGCCTACAATAGTGTGATTCATGTAGGCCCTCTTTCATCAATTTCAAACCCCTAGAAAATGTATACTGATCATATAAGTAGGCATAAGATTTTTTTAACATTTCTGGGCTCTCACCGACCCTTGCGCTAGACTGTGGAAAAGGGAGTTATTATTGTAGTATATGACACTGCTGTTGCCTTATTAGTTTTAACATGATAGGTGCTGAATTGTGATTCACAATTTAAAAACACTGTAATCCAAACTTTTTTTTTATTATTATTGTGGATCATGCATGTGATTGTAAATGTAAATTTGTACAATGTTGTTATCATAGAGAAACACACATGCCTTAAAATTTAAAAAGCAGGGCCCAAAGCTTATTAGTTTAAATTAGGGTATGTTTCAAGTTTTTATTCATTGTTTTAATAGCTCTGTTTAGAAAAATCAAAGACCATAATTTGTGAAACATCTAGCGTGTAACACATAGTTTAAGTGACTTGTACATGTGAAATCAGAAACGGCACCGTCAGTTTTGTAGTAATGGCTTTTAAGTCAAGCAGGCTCAAATCTAGTGGAATAGTCAGTTTAACTTTTTAACAGATCTTATTTTTTTATTTTGAGTGCCACTATTAATAAGGTGTTAAAAAAAGAGTTGAGAGGGAAGTCTGAAGAAGTCTTGATGAAGCTTAAAAATATATACTTTTGTTGTCAAGATTTTAGAAAGTAGTAGGGTGACTAGGCTGTTTTTAATTTCTGAAATGCTAAGTGTTTTTATACAGGAAACAAAGACCATGTTGCTTTCCACAGTGTGAGAGAGGATGTATACTTTTCGAAGGTGATGCTGAATACATATTATTTGACAGAGTCATAGCTATAGATGAGCAATGAGGAGCTGGTTGCCAGGGTCCAAATATGGATTGATTTCTGTACTGCTATCTGTTTTGACACAAACTTCCTTTTAAAATGTGCCTAGTTTACCAAAATGAATTAAAAAGGGGAAAAAGGACATTCAGATTTTTAAGGTAAAATTAAACAGATAGCTACAGCATAAGAGAACTGGGAAATTAGATGTGGATCATTTGTTTAATGTAATTAAATTATAATTGTAGTTTTTTCTGCTTAAAAATCTAAAGATTGTTTAGAACCGCTTGTTTAAAAATAATGTTCTGCTTATTGTAAAATCATGTCTCACACTTTGAGGCAGTGGTTGTACAGATAAGGACTATTGTGTATGTCATTTTAAAGTGTTGGAATTTCACCTCCGAGTACGTTCTTCATTGAAAAAGCATTCATTGAACCACTTATATGACACATCTTAAAAGGTCATTGACAATGTATAAACTAATTGTTGGTTTGATATGTATGTAAATATCAGTTTACCATGCTTTAATTTTGCACATTCATATTATAGGGAGCCGATCGGTTCTCTTATTAGTCTTGTGGGTGTTCTGTTTGGAAGGAATCACAGCGTCTGTTTACATTTACCTTATCAACCCTAGAATGTGTATATTTGTAAATGTATGTCTTCATTCCTAGGTACTAGTTTGCGAATGTCTTTACATATGTCAATACAGAAACTAAAACATTCGATAGTATGTTGTCAAAGTGTGCTTAGCTCATCTGGATATACCCACACTGTTAAATAATGTCTAAACATTAATCATTAAAACATTTTTGATTATCTGTGCTTGTGTATTACATTGTTTAAGTGCTACCAATTCTAAAAGATTGGAGAAAAATGTACTTTCTTCACCCTCTAGGAAGTTGCCTGCATAGATGTAAATAATTGGGCTTTAAAGGTTATATTGCTGCTCAGTTTGCATGAGGATTTCACAGTAAAGCTTGGTGGTGTCTCCACCAGAACTCCTTTCCACTCTGCCTTTTCCATGTTCCTCCACTAGAGTTCTAGCTCTGAGTACACTTCTTTTTCCTTCCTTCCATCAATCCTCATCCTGCACCTCACTATACCCAGGCTATTAGAGTTACTAGGTCTAGCCCCAGAGGTTAAGGAGCTCTGGTAGCATAGTGCCTAAGGCACTTGACTGCTAACCAGAAGGCTGGTGGTTCAAACCCACCACCCACTCCTTGGAAGGAAGGTTAGGCGATCTACTTCCGTAGTGATACTGCCCCAGAAACCCAAGGAGGGGTCTCTATGAATCAGGTCTGACTCGACGGCACGTAACAACAACAACAGGCCCAGAGGTTGGCAAACTTTTTCTGTAAAGAGCTAGATAATAAATATTTTAGATTTGATGGGCATGTGGTCTCTATGACAGCCACTCACCTCTGTCATTGTAACATGTAAAAGCAGCTACAGACAATAGGTGATGTGGACACTCCTGATGAATAGTGCTTATTAGTGCCCCCTCTGTTGCCTGTTTATGTTACTGTGTTGACCAGGCCTTTAAGGGATATTACCTGATTCATTGGGAGAGTGATTGTTACAAAGGACTGACGAGGTATATTGAGCAAACAGGACTCTGTGAGAAATGACTTCAGTCCCCAAAGGAGCCTTTGCTGAGTAGAGATCAGAAGTACATACTGTTGTACAAAATGGTGTGTAGAAAGTACCACATGATTGATAGGAGCCAACTCACTCTCCCAGGGAGGGAGAAGTTTCTTTCTAACAAGTATTCTCACACACTGATGTCATTGACTTGAACTGAGCCTTAAGAGATCATCTAGATTACAGTAGATGGAGACTGAAGGTTGTTGGCTGGGAGACAACATTCCAAGTACAGAAAACAGCATGAGCAAATGTGCAGAGGCAGAGATACAACACATTTCCTTGAATTATTGGATGTGTGGGTGAAAATAAGAGGTAAACTCAGCATAGAGTGGAATTTGTTCTCATTGACAAAATATGTAGACTCTTATTCAGAATTCCAAGGGAAAAGTAGTAATTACTCTGAATCATTCTTAGCTCTAGCCCTCCTTCCTGCCTGGACACCCTCCTTCCACTCCCCCTTACCAGCAATACATGGGAGGAACATGAAGGTGATTGTAACAAGAACTGGGACACAACGGCTGCTTAGTTACAAGACAAATCCAAAAGGGCCCTCAGCCCTTCCAAAAAATGCTCGTGAACCAATGATAAGGCATTTGAAGTTTCTTGGAACATCTGAGGGTGAGGATCATGGGTGGAATTCCACGTTGGCTTCAAAACAACAAATTCTTATGTAACTATATTATTACTGGCATTATTTGTTGAAATAATGGGCATAGGTATGGATGTCTCTTGGTTGATTGATTTGACGGTGTTTAGCCATGCTAACACTTCTCAAGTTGTATGCTTTGCTCTTGAAAATGTTCCTGTGAAGCAGGCCTCTGTTTGTAGCAAACCATAAACACGAGATTCTAATGACTTTTATGCCCTTTTCTACTCCCACTTAAACCGCTACTGTTTTCATTCCTTGCAGAAGGCTACAGTGAAAGGCTCTGGAACTGGGATAGAGGTTGACCAAGCCCTAACTCATTGTTCACTGTTGGTTCATGTGGAACTCTGGCACTCTGCTCTAGGCAAATTGAGTTAAAGACCAAGAAAAAAAAGACCAGATCCTCTCTTAACAAGGAAACAGTTGAACTCCAAATCCTAAGCACACACAGCTGCTCTTTCAAAGGAAAGGGAAGAGAGATATTGGGATGCCCCTGAGCTGTACTTTTAAGTTCCAAAAACCTGTTGCTGTGGAGACAGTTCCAACTCATAATGACCTTATGTGCGTCAAAGTAGAACGGTTCCATAGGGTTTTCAGTGGCTGGTTTTTCAGAATTGGATCTCTAGGCTTTTCTTTGCAGGCACTTCTGAGTGGACTTGAACCTCCAACCTTTTCATTAGCAGCCAAGACTAGAACTAGGTGGTAAGTAAAGGGATACTTGTCCTAGGACATCAACAGGGCACTTTCATTTGTTAGATGGGAAAAGTTCAAGTTGGGAGGCACCATAGCGTAATGGTTAGAATTAAAGACTTTGCCAGTTACTACTATGGGACGACAAGCAAGTTTCCTACCTTTTCTGAACCTGTTTCCTCAACTCTAAAATAGAGATGGATGCTTTTTAACTCAGATGGCTGAGGTTTAGCATAGGGCTTCACAAGAACAGTCACTATTACCAAGAATGAAAGACCAAGAAAAAATTTATGATGGTCAATTTTGTGTGAGATTTAAAACTATATTGCTCAATATAAATTGTTTCCACTAAATTATCCTTAGTTGAAGCCTAGTTAATACCAATTTTTAAAGTTAAAATTGTCTAATTATAAAGTGGTCACTCAAAAACAAAAGTTACTGATTACAGCACCAACTTGGATGTATTCTGGTAAGATTCATTATGAGTCTGGGCTCCTGCAGATAGTAAAGGAGCTCATGGGTGGTGCAGTTAAGTTCTCAGCAAGTAACCAAAAGGTTGGCAGTTCAAATCTACCCAGAGATGCCTCAGAAGAAAGGCCTGGTGATCTACTTCTGAAAGATCAGCCATTGAAAACCTTACGGAGCACAGTTCTAACACACATGGGATCACCATAAGTCAGAATCCACTCAACGGCAGCTGGGTTTGTAGATAGTAAATCACGTCAACTCTGTGGTGTCATGGAACATCATGCCTTCCCATGAGTACCCAAAACTCCTTGCAGAAGCAGCTCCAAAGGTGAATATCTGTGGTGGTAAAGTTTGTGTGTCAACTTGGCTGGGCCTGGTTGGGCAGCTGGGTAGTTGTTCCCCATGGTGAGATTGGTAATTAACTCCATGGTGGAATCTGTTGGAGCAGCTGAGTAGCTGGTTTAGGGATGTGAGTTACTTCCAGTATATAAGGAGAAGGTTTGAGAAACATCTCAAGCTTTTGCCACGCTTGAACCCTGCATGTAGCTTGAGTTGTCGTTCAGCAGCCTGCCGTACCCTGCCGAGCTTGGGACTTTTAATAGACTGGAATCAACGGCCTGCCTTGTGGTTTGGTAATATTGAGACTGCCTTTTTCACTTGTCGACCTTGGGCTTGTTAGCCTCAGTAGCCAGCGGCTGTCTGAGTGAAGAGGTGCCTCTAACTTCAGTGGACCAAGAGCAAGAGGCAGAGCTGAAGCCCAAGATTGAGAGGCTTTCACCCAACCCCTAGACCTGGCACCTTAAACTCGGACTTCTAGCCTCCAAAACTGTAAGGGAATAAACTCCTGTTTGTTAAAGCCATCCATTTGTGGTATATATTCCTGTCAGAGTGGCACTAGGTAACCAGAACAATACCCAAAGTATGAAATGAGACCCTTTTCATCTGGGTTTCATATATTGCAATTGTATTTGGCCTCTTTTAGATCAAGCCCTAAGGTTTGGAGAATATATTTGAGGGAAAGCTTTATCGTTTTTGACAGTGGTTTTAAATTTATCCCAGTATGGAGAAAAAACTGTTAAAGGCAGCCCTGTATAGAATGAGGTCAGGGATTAAACACCTTCTCAGGTGTCCCCACTGGCCCAAGAGTTCAAAATCTAAGTGAGCATGGACTGTTGCCTAGGATCTGTTGTGAGATTTGTAATGAGATTTCTGAAGAAGCTGACTTAGGAAAAGAGTTGGCAAAAGCACAAAATTTGTGTAAAAGGAAAGTGAAGTGTGGGTGGAATAAAAGCAGCAGTGAGGGAGGCAGAGTTTTTGTTAAGGTCTGAGTGGTGCTTTCACAGGCTTCCTAATAATAGCCCAAGGGATATAGGATTGGTTCAGAAGATGTTCCAGAAGGAAGCCTGGTAGTGTGTGCCTTGTACTGGGCATGTAGTAAGTGTGAGAAGGAAACATGGTGCCAGGTGCTTCCTTCCCCTAAATATCAACACTTACCGTCCTCATTTTACAGATAAGAAGGCTGAAACTGGAAGAGCATGTGTGTCCTGCCCAAAGTTAGTGGTTCAAATAGGGCTCTCCTACTCCAAAGGTGACACACCAGTTGCCATCCATTTGACTCCCTCTTAGAGTAGAACTGTGTCAGAGTTGAAATGTGCTCCATAGGGCTTTCAGTGGCTGATCTTTTGAAAGTAGATTGCCAGGCCTTTCTTCCAAGGTGCCCCTGGGTGGATTGGAACCTCCAATTTTTCAGTTAACAGCAAGCTTTTTTTTTTTCTCACTTTTTTTAAGAGCTTGTTTTACATTCAATGTTACGTGTACATTTAGTTTCACTCCCCATTCACCATGTTCAACCCTAACCCAGTCTCCTCCCTTCCCTACCCAGTAACCCTCCCCCTATGCCCCTCATATTTATGCACTTGTGTTTGTCCTGCATTTCCTCAATTTGAATGTTGGTCCTCTGGTGCCCCGTGGTCTATTGCTCTAAGGGATGTATTACCATAGAGTATGTGGGTGCGTCATCCTGGGTTGAGTGGTCTGCGTGTACATCTTGTTAACTATTGGGTTGAGTTCTACCCCAGACACAGAATGGTTTCCAGGGTCATAGTATTGGGGGTCTCATCAGACCATCAGACTTCATCAGACAGGAATTCTGGTCATTATTGAGTTTTTTGGATTTTAGTCCACGTTTTCCCTCCCACTCTATCCAGGATCTCCAGATTTGATCCTTTCCTGAGTGGTTGGTATTGGTATCTGGGCACCATGTAGTTCTTCTGGTCTCGAGGACCATTGTGTCCTATGGCTCACAGTGATTTTAAATTTATCCCAGTATGGATTAAAAACTGTTAAAGGCAGCCCTGTATAGAATGAG